ACGAGCAGATATGGACGAGCAAGGATCACATTGCACTGTTTGTGAAGAGCAGTACAACGATCAAAGAAATCCCCGAGCACTGAGCTGTGGACACTCCTTCTGCTCTACTTGTCTCAACCAGCTCTTCGTACAGAACAGCAGACTTTGTCCGGAATGCCGTGCCTACATCAGAACTGCCTCTGTCAATGACATTCCTGTAAACTACGCGCTGCTCAGGCTGGTTCGGGCCCAGGCAGCTCAGACACCGAAGCCGGCCCCAAAACCTGACTTGGATCCGAATGGCGGAGAGTGTCAAGCTCATGGATCCATTATGTTCTTCTGGTGTGTCAAGTGTTTCACTTGGGTGTGCCGCGACTGCCTGGTGGTGGACCACCCTGAGTCTCCACGGGGCACATGCGTGATCAAGGCCCCCAAACAAGCGACGGAAGACATGATACAAACCGAGAATCGGAAAGTCACGGGCTTGATTTTAGATATCGAGAGAATAATTAAGATGATGGAATCTGGAAAACTTCGTCTAGAAAATCAGAAGAAACAGATTGAAAATAATATCACTGCTTTGCGAACCCAGATTGTAACATTGGAGACCTCTTTTCAGGGTTATACAGCCAAAGAGCAAGAAATCAGTAAGAATGTGGCAGATATGAAGACTTGGATCCTAAAGCTACAGGAATCCATGGTCCAAACAGCTAAGGCTGTAACGCCACAAGAAGCTAAGGATATTCTCTGCGATGTGTCTTCCTCCAGAAAAGATCTCGAAGAGGAAATTGAAAATAAAAGGAGGCTTGTAGGTACATTCAGCTATCAAGGATACATTTTTTAAAATGCACCTCAGATTATATAGTGTAATGGATTAGTAAACACTACTTTTAAAGCCATTATATTTGTTATATTTAGATTCAATGAAAAGGAAAACGTGTGGTTCAAGGTTTGGCTACTACTTCGAGTAAAGTCAAATTCTTGATCCATAGTGGACTTGCATGTCAAAGTCTAGGAATGGTAAGCCTATATTTTTTCTTGCTGCATCACTAACGGCAGTATTTATGCTCTAAATAAGAATAATAAACTAATAAAAAATACTAGTTTTATGTAATCCATTGTAGATATAGGTAGCTTATTTGCTAATTGGAGAAACTGATTATATAGAAATTGTCAGTATACCTACCTGTGCTTTTATGTATATATACTGAGACAGATAAATTTGTGTGTGTGTGTGTGTGTATATATATATATATATATATATATATATATATATATATATATATATATATATATATATATACATATTTATATATATACATACATATATGTATATATATATTTGTGTGTGTGTACAATATATATATATATATATATATATATATATATATATATATATATATATACATACATATACATACATATATATATATATATTGCCAAACAAACATATAGTCTACTACAGAAGCGATAGGATCTAACAACATTGTAATATAGTAAATAAAATGACTTTATGTCTTTATTTTTTTCTTCCTTTCTTTTTTATCTCGTCCATAGACCATCTACGCGTCGACCTACAGTAGTACAAAACGGAAACAGTACATTTCTCAACTGTGAAAAGGCTGTAGGCAGAGTCTGTCACCATCGTTGTATTCTGGAATTCCAGTAATAATAATGATAATGATAATAATAACATAAATGATAATATTAATGGTAACGGTTATAGAAAAGATAATAAAAACTAAAATTGTTATTAGACCACTAATATAAATGATAACAGTAATAATAATAATAGTAATTATAAAGAAAACGAGAGCTCTAGTAATGGTGACAGCGACCCTGAATAATGATTATACGTATGACAGCAGTAATAACAAGATACTGATCATACAAAAAAAAAAAAAACTAAAACAAAAAACTGTAATAATTATTCAATTATAAACATAGTAATTATGCTAACAATAACAATACTAGTAATAGTAATATTAATAACTATTAGTATCGTTATCATCACCATCCTCCTCATTATCTTATCAAAGAAGGATAATGAAAATAAAAATCATGATAATTGAAATAATGATAATAATAACTAATAATAATGAAAGTAGAAATAAAGAGAAGAAATCATAGCAATAATGGTGATGGTGAGTCGGATAACAGCAACAGTAACAATGAATAAGGAAAATCAAATAAAAGCATTACTGATGCTGAAATTTAAGTAGCGACAGTAACTATCATTATCCATTACTATGGTGATTATTATGAAAGCAAATACTGTATCATATGCTGACACAATCCATGTACTACATCGGCAATTACTAACCGTAAATATGTGTGCATCATTATTGTACACATATTTACATATTTCTCGTATTTACATACATGATAGTTTTATTTTCGCAACAGAGACGTTAAGTGGCCCTTCAGCTTGAAAGATACTCTACAGTCTGTAAGTTGTACATACAGTTTTACATTGGCCGTGCATTATACATCGTGCAAATATTGCAGACCGTGTAAAATA